AGAATACGAATTGAAAAGATACGACATCAAGAATTACAATCATGAAATTAAAATTTACGATTACACTTTCTTCAGTACAAATATGAATTCACAGACACAGATTTACTGTCAGAAATCTGTCATCATTTCAGAGGCATTATTTATTGAGCAGAAGAAACATCAATTGAGATGCCGGACTTTTGCGCCGCATACGGACTGAACCAGGACTGAACCAGGACTGAACCAGGACTGAACCAGGACTGAACCAGGACCGAACTTGGTGCAAACAAGGACTGAATTAGTAAGTAAGTTTTTATCTATATAGCGCTTTTCACAGATATATGTCACAAAGACACTTTTACAGAGCATTATTCAGCACTGTTCATTCACTCCACCCCCGGTGGTGGTAAGCTGCCCTGGGTCAGACCAACGGAAGCGCGGCTGCCATGCCAATCAGCGCCATAGGTCCCTCTGAACACCACCATCACTCACACACACACCACTTTCATATTAGGCAATGTGGGTGAACTGTCTTGTCTAAGGACACGATGACGGTTTTTGTGACCTCATTGTGGCACCTGATTTTCCCAGCGGTCTCCCATCCGGTACTAACCAGGCCCGGCCCTGCTTAGCTTCTGAGATCTGACGGAATTAGACTTTAAAGCAAGGCAAGCTGGTATGGCCAGGATGAGGACAAAAACAAGACAAAACCAGGACTAAACCAGAGCTGAGGGATTGGGGAGGGGCCTAGAGGTGCGCCCATGTAGACCGTCGGTTGACCGCGGGCAAAAGAACCGGCACAGAGCTCCACACCCCATGGGGCTAAGTGCCACTTTCACTCGATCGCGTTTTGCGGACACCCTGCTTCAAAGGCTCGGAGTTCTCCCTCTCTCTCTCTCTCTTTCTCTCTCAAGTCCAAGATTAGACCTGGTTTAGACCTGGTTTAGTCCCGGTTCATTCCTGGTTCAGTCCTGGTCCAGTCCGTATGTGGCACAAAACTCCGGCATCTTGATCGATGTTTTTTGTGCTCAATAAACAGACAGATTTTTGACAGCAGAGTTGCACCTGTGAATTCGTATTTGTACAGAAGAAAGCGTAAATTTTCATTTCGTGATTGTAATTCTTGATGCCGTAACCTTTCAATTCGTATTCTGATGGATAAAATACGCACAATATATCTTACAACAACGACTGGACTCATTTGAGAGTTTATGAATATTTATTTCATGCTCATCTACAGCCAAATATGCACGGATTTCCCAAATATGCACTGATTTCTAACCTATGCAGGGGAATATTTCTGAAAGCTTTCATACTCCATCATGTTTCCTTGTGTTATGTTCAAGCAGATTTGACTTTTATTTGGCAAAACTAGAGCCAAGCAGTGATGCAGAAGAATGATCCACGGAGTGCAGATGTGAACAGCAGCTGGCTCCAGGACATGACATGATGACTCTTCACAAGATTCTGTTTTCATCCACAGTCCAGTTCAGATGATAAAAGAGGACACATTTGTAATATCACAGCTTGACTTCTCTCGCTCTGCTCGCTGTGCGCTATTCACCAGCCTCTCTCCGGAGTGATATGAAGTGAGTTCTACACATGATCAATCTGAACGGCTCTCGCTGAAAGAGATTGGAAAATGTGAAATGTCATGACAGTTATTTGAACCTAAACTAAACTAAAAACCGAGTCAGACAGAATCACAGGATAAGGAGTAAGGGATCAGGAGGAACTGTCCAAGCTCTAAAAGAAAAAAAACTGAACATGTGGTATTAGGAAAACTGTGTGTCAGGTGTTGATATATCAGGAGGTTTGCAATGAGATCATGTTGTAAAACTTTAAGAGGCAGGAGTGCTACTTGGATGTGCAGAGATTGTGCAAAATTGTCCTCTTGGTGCTCTTGAGGGTAGGGACCAGTCTCGAATACTAAGTTGAAAAAGCTGAGGCACTCAAAAAAGTACAAAATGATGAAAAGCTTTTAATACCACATGGCAGATAAAGTTAAAATCACGTCAACGCCTTTCGGGCTGTTCACAGTGGGCTTGCCTACAGTCCCCTGGTGCATGATGGGACATGTAGGCTGAACAGATTTTAGTTACAAGCTATTTATTCATCAGCCGGTTTCACTTCGTAGAAACTGTCTGACCTCGCAGGGTTAGAATTTGTTCGCTCGACAGTAGGCGGGTACTTTTTATCATTTAACCAATCGCTGCTATTTCGTAGTCACGTGTGTAATGCGTCACTAACGGGCCTAACTGGTGTATTAAGCTTTTCCCAAATCCAGTAGGAAGAAGGTCAATAATGTCTTTCCCCTTGATGAAATTCACCAAACATTCTCTTTGTTCCGGGTTTAAATCCTCGATCTCAGGAATCGTTGACAACTAGGAATGTACGGCTTTTTGCTGATTGGCTGGTGCCCAAACTCACACTTCTGGGATTTTTGCAAACTGTCTAGTGTATTCTGATTCCTCACCTAGTAGTCACTGGAGAGAAATGAAATTGAGTGGAGGCACTAGGTGGCATTTAAGATAATGTATAATAAAAAAATACAAGATATAAATAGTACAATTCCCAACAACACATACATAGAAAAATACACAGAATAAAACGATATATAGAGAGTAAAAAATACAAAAGTGCTACAGATGCAACATGTATAATGTGTATAATATATTAAAGGGCAAGCCTTAAACAGTTTCATGGAGACAAAGATCTTAAAAATAAGAATAGATTGCACATTTAAAGCTTGTAGTTTTAAAGAAAGGGGGAGAAATCTAACTCTCCGTAAAGTCCTGAAAACTGGGTATCCTTGAGAGTGTAGATCCAGTAGGACTTTTCTGTAGTAGTTTTGTTCAGTTTATCTCCTCTTGTTATTGTTTCTTTAATATGTTCAATTCCACAGATTTTTAGGCTTTTACAGCTGCCATGTTGTACAATCCGATTATGTCATAACTCTGATGAAGGGCTTGGAGATTTCTTGTTTTTTAAATAAATACATAAACTTATGAAGCACAAGCCTTTGTTTAGGATTGGCTTCACAAACTCAATTAAAATGCTTTCAACCGACAACACTCATGTCTTTGGGGCTGAATAACGGCACCACTTGTGAACGCTGAATTTCACATGTGTTTATGTACTCTGACGGAGAAGAGACTTTTCCTCACTCATGAAGTGTTCTTATGACACACATTTTCTTAACTAAAAATGTTCTTTTGGAAGAGCAAATCCTGCAAACACTTGTAAATCCAGTCAAACACTTGCATGAACAAAAATCGAATATTCTACAGGTTTTGAATATTTTCACTGATAATGCAACTGAAAATTCAATACTTCCATGATTGTAAGTTATATATTTTTTGTATTATTTCAGACATTTATGTGGAGTTTCATGGAGCATGCGGTGTGATTGGTCTGACACTTTACAGGCTGCTGTTCTGCTGTGATAGTGACAGTCCCAGTGCGCTCCATATGGGCCACTGGCTGAGACTTACATGTGCACTCAAAGTCTGATTCACATCTGATTTATTTTTAAGATTTTTAGATTATTTAAATGAAATGTAAAAAGCCAAATCTGTGTCCCTGATGCAGTGAGGTTTGAAAGTATGGCGTCTGTTTTTCTTTTTCTTTTGGTACTTATAGATTATACACGACTAGAGATGTGAGAACTGAATTGCCCTTTGGGATTAATAAAGTTGTTGATTGATTGATTGAAATCATCTCATTTCTGATGTGATCCCTCTGATCACACAGCCTGATTCATCTGCTGGTTTCACTTTGTGGATACCGTCTGACCTCGCAGCGTTAGTTTGTTCGCTCGAAGGTAGGAGGGTACTTTTATAAATTTAACCAATTGCTGCTATTTGGTAGTGACGTATGTAATGCGCCGCTAACGGAGCTAACTGGTATATTAAGCTTTTCCCAAATCCCGTAGGAACAAGGGCAATAACGTTTTTCCCCTTGATAAAATTCACCAAACATTCTCTTTGTTCCGACTTTAAATCCTCAATCTCCGGAATTGTTGCCAACACAGAATATATGGCTCTTCGTTGATTGGCTGGTGGCCGGACTCGCACTTCCGGGGTTCTTGCAAACCGTGTAGTGTATTCTAATTCCTGAACTAGTCGCAGGAGAGAAATTAAATTGAGCGGAGGCCTGGTTACTGATCACTCACATCAGATTTTGCAGTTTACATGTCATTTAAACAGGCTACCTTACAGGTCTAGAAATCAGATTGTAATCACATTTCGGTGCATGTAAATAGGCCTATTGTTAGAGCCCCGTGCCTGGTCGCTGCACTGAATTCAACACTGCACAACCTCCAGACCCTCATAACCCCCATGACCCATCCCCCCCCCATGCACTTTTATATCAGTTTTTACCCCAGTAATGACAGAGAAATCAGATGTAAAGCAGATCAGTCTGCTGTAGATGTTTTGAACATTTTAAGTAAAAGCATGAAATCCATTCTGGACACTACTGGTCAAAAGTTTGAGAACACTCCAATTTTTCCAGTTATTTATTGCAATTCAAGTCGTGCAAGTCCAATGAAGAGCTTGAAATGGTGCAAAGGTAAGAACTGAACAGTCAGACGTAAAAGATAAAAGATAAAAGAACAAAACGCAAGTCCAAGCTCTGCCAAAACCACCTCAGTAAAAAAAAGAACAAGATGGTAAACTTGAAAACATGAAGTGTTCAGCACAGTCTCCAGACTTAAAGGCCATCGAGCTGGTTTTGGATGAACTGGACAGAAGAGTGAAAGCAAAGCAACCTACAAGTGCCACACATTTATGGGAAATTTTGCAACAGACTTGGGAAGAACTTTCTGAAGAATATTTGATTTCTATTGTAAAAAGAACGAGCCACGAGTGTGTTCAGCTGTTATATCTGCCAAAAGTGGACACTTTCATGAATCAAAAGTTTAGATTTTGGTCAGCAGTAAACAGTAACAAACTGGACAAAGTGTGATGTTCTAAAACTTTTGACTGGTAGTGTTGGATTCAAACCATAGAAGTTCTTACCTTTCCAACGTACTGCGGCTCAGGTCCCATGTGCTCCTCCAGAACATAGAACTGGTTCCAGACCCATCCTCTCTTGGGCTTGTGAGGTTCTTTACTATCCACATCCTCAGTTTTGGTCAGGTTCTTGCCTGCTCTTGGCTGGGACCTATCCTCAGGTTTGGAGATCTTTGCGTCCACTTTAGGAACAGCCATCGATGAAGACTTGAGTTTCGAACGAGTTTTGGTCATTGTTGGCGAACTTGAACTAAGACTGGACGTGCCGTTGGAGCTACTTTTTGACATCAACTTGTTCCCCAAACTAATTTTTGATTTCGATTTGCTCTGTAAAGATTCCTTGGTGGCATTATTCCTTTGTTGCCTCAAGTTAGCTACATATTTGTCTAATGGCTGCAATTTGAGTCTTGAGTTTAAATCCTTGTTTTGGGGCCTACGATATTCAACGGATTCCAATCGACTTTCAGTACTAGTCCTGCTCCAAGGATTGCGTCGAGACTTGGAGGTCACTTGTTGAGATCTTTGGTCAGCTGAAGAACCAGAGATGGGACCAGATATTTTGGAATCACCCTGGATCCCACAGCCAGTCTGGGTGATGGAACATAGGAAGACCAGCACAGGACCAAGAACGCAGAGCCGAACTTTCATTGTAAAATCCACTCTCACCTCCACTTTGCCATGCCACTCAATGAAAAAAACACCTCCAAGAACGATTAGAAATTCCCAACGGTTGTAGCTAAAACGCCCTGAAATTCAAAATGACGAGTTTCTTTCATTTCCGTCAGACATGATGGAAATAAACAACGGTGTAATCCTGTTTAAGAACGTTGTCCAGTCGTCAAAATCCAAAATGGCTCAGAAGAATTTTCAGAAACATCATTGAAAGTAAAGGAGAAGGGCATCTCTGGTTGGAGTTGTCCCAAATCCATGAGAAAATGAAGTTATGTGGGAATCAGAAGGAAGATTGGGCTGCATACAAATCACTGGATGATACCTGGAAGACAAAATTGAAAATCATTATTGAAGTTCACAATTAATATGTTAATAGTCCTGGCCATAAAATCTACTTTGCACTTTTTTTTTTAAATGAGATGAGAGATGGTCCTACCTGGAGGTGTATTTTACAAGACTGGATAACCAAAACCAACACTTTTCCTGTTCTACATAAAGTTCTGAATCCTTGCCTCTGTATATCAGGTTTCAAAAGTGCATGACAGGTAAATTACATCGATATATACACGAATGAGAGGGTGTGTTTTCTGTAGGTTTATTACTTTCTATATTTTAGATACGGAGGACATGAAATATACAAAGCATTACATTTTATCTGGTGGTGTAGTGGGGATTTTTTAAGTACGCGATTCGTCATCAAACAATCACTTTTCAGAACGTAAATCATAGGCTACAACACATGTGAACCAGGAGGACTAAAACAGGTCTAAACCAGGTCTAAACCAGGTCTAAACCAGGACTAATGTTGGACTTGACAGCGAGAGAGAGAACCCCGAGCCCATGGAGCAAGGTGTCCACAAAGCGTGATCAAGCGACAGCTACGCTTAGCCCCGTGAGGTGCAGAGCGCTACACCGGTCCTTTTGCCTGCTGTCACCTGACTGTCTACACACCTCTGAGCCCGTCCCGACACTCAGTCCTGGTTCAGTTCTGGTTTAGTTTTGGTTTAGACCTGGTTTAGTCCTGGTTCAGTCCTGGTTCAGTCCTTGTTCAGTCCTGGTTCAGTTCTGTTTTAGTCCTTGTTCAGTCCTGGTTCAGTCCTTGTACAGTCCTGGTTCAGTCCTGTTTTAGTCCTGGTTCAGTTCTGGTTCAATCATCGATCAGTCCTGGTCCCTCATGTCTCAGGTCACTATTGGACAGTCCTGCAGATATCATGAGCCTGTGCAGGTTGTTTTCACCATTGCCAATTGCTCTGGTTTAACATTTAACCTGTAGCTTTTTTATATATATATTTTTTATATATATATATCTCACGTCGGGAGAAATGGGTGGACGGCGAACCCCCGCGTAACACAACCACTAAACCCCTGTATTTTTTATTTAAATCTTCATAGTATCCACGCGTTGCTTTGCTGACAGCGCTGCAAACCCTTGGACTTCTCTTTATGAACTTCGTGAAGTCTCTTGAAATGGTTTTTATTTCACAGCTGTGCCACGTCAAGGTCAACAAATGCCAAAAGTGCAAAGCAGTGATCAAAGTAAAGGGTTTTTATTTTATTCCGTATGTGCCCTTCGTAGTTTTGATGCTTCAGTGAGCATCTACATTGTAAATAACCATGGAAATAAAGAAGAAACATAAGTGAAAATTGTGTCCAAACTTTTGACAGCTCGTGTAGACTATATTTTCATAAGTGACAGAAACAAAATACGCTCATGAAAAAGCTTTTGTGTTTACAGTGAACAGTGATGGAGGAAAGGTTGGATATAAAAAATGTGCAAGAGACTTTGAGGTTTTTCATGCGTTATGTAACTTGACAAGTTCAGAGAAAGACCACCTCATAAACAGGACTTATGAAACAAGTGAAAAAGAAGCAAAATACAACTCCAGATGTGTTTGCGATGAGACAACAAGCCCAAAATGGTCAATGAAAAGGAGAGAATTGTGTAATCTTAACAGTTTGCAGCGGTCCAAACTTCTTCCTCACCTCCTTCACACGTTTCTAGCTTTCTAATCATTCATTTCTGAGGCCAACGCAGAGTCTTGGCGTTGCACCTCTGCTACTCACAGCTACTCACAGCTAGTTTGGCAACGGCACACTAGTTTTACTTCCTGGTTTATGGCCAATCAAACACTTTATAAACAGATGTACTGTGGTCTCGTTTAACTGTAGGAGCTGCTTTTAAAATATACACTACTCTAATATATTACTACATTCTACATTTTTTATACATGCAGAAGACATCAAATATAGGAAGCATGATTTATAGAATCATGTAGCAAAGTTAAATGACCTGATAATGAATGTTTGGCATGACCAGTCAAAAGTTTGGATACATTTTGTTGTCCAATTTTTTAAATTTTTTATTTCCATGAGCATTTACATTGTAGATTCTTTGTGAAGACATCAAAACTACAAATGGACACGAAAGGAATGTAGCATAGTTTTATAACTTTTTTACAACCTCTATACCCTGTACCATATTTTGATGAACTTTTACTAGTAATGAAAGGAATTGACCTGAAAAAAATTACCCCGGACTCAAAATGAAGTTTTCGTAAAGCCGACCAACAACCAGAATAATACTGTTAGAAGGTTAATGTCTGTTCAATCATAAAATAAACAAAGACCATTTTCTCTTTAATAACACAGGAACAAAACACATAATCAGGGTAAAGATAATATAAAACAGGCCACTAAAAGTCAAAAAATGATGAATGTTAGTGTTGGTTAGCAGTGATGAATTGAATGGCTTATAAAGTGAAAGCAAGAATAGAAAGTGAAACTCCAGTATATTATGATGGCAGCACAACTTATTATTGATCCATTTTCGGTCAAATTGACTTGTAATTGCCCTTGTGATAACTTAGCACGGTTTCACATTTCATATCATTGGCTGTAATGTGTATTTAATTTTTTTGTTTTGTTTCGGGGGGACTTTTTAAAAAGAGTGTTGAAAATGGAGTTTGGTTTCTTCAATTATACCAAAAAGTTCATCCAATCATGACGCAGGACTTTGATTTTGGAAAAAAAAAGTTCAAAAAGTTATAACCCTAATGTAGCAAATGAAAATACAAACTCAAAATATCTCATATCATGTTTTAGAGCTTACGTTTTTTTATTTATTTATTTTTTAATTGGCATCCTTTGCTTTGGTCTCTGCTTTGCACTCGTGGCATTTCTTCACAATGACAAGGATCAGTTGTGAAGCTCACTGAAAGAAGATCAAGGGTTTGCAGCTGTCAGAAAAGCAAAGGGTGGATACCTTGAGGATTTAGATTTAGTTGAGTTATTTCTTTTTTTTTTTTCCCCTTTGCTACACAATTCCATGTATCTTGCTTCATATTTTTGATGTCTACTGTATGTAAAGAATAAAACACTGAATGAGATGGTGTTTCTAAACTTCTTCCTCGAAGTATAGCCACCCTTTGCTTTGTCGACAGTGCTGCAAACTCTTCTCTCAATGAGCCTCATGATGAAGTCTCCTGAAATGGTTTTCACTTCACAGCTGTGCCAGGCCAGAGTCAAGGAATGTCAAGAGAGTAAACCAGTCGTGAAAGTTAAAAGTGGCTATTTTTGTAACTCTAAAATCCTCAACAAGTCTGGTATTATTTTCATTTTTCTTGCCTTCATGAGAATCTATAATATAAATATGAATGATGAAAACGAAACAAATAAACTAAATTGAGAAAGAGTGTCCAAACTTTTGACTGGTAGTGTATCCGTGTTAGAGCGAGACAAAAGTTGGACTTTTAAAGAGGGTGTATTTTACTTCTATGGCGTCTTATCTGCTAACACATAACATATTTAGTAGGGATGTAACGATATCCAGATTTCTTGGTATGATATTTTCACACAATACAACTCACTGTACGATATTTATTGCGATACAGAATTGTGAATATGGTAATTTATCCTCTTTACATTCCTTGACAAGGCTTATCAAGGAATTTGACTGTCATAATCCAAAGAATTAAGATTTTAAAGTGCTAAATAATTATTATTTTACATGTACCATATTTTCCGGGCTATTAGGCGCGCTCTTAAGCCTCCAACCCCATCAAAAAACGACCACGCGCTGCACAATCCAGAGCGCCCCATACGCGAATCCACTCGGGTGTCCCAGCACGACTTCAGTAAACTACAAAGCCGCACCACCCGCAGCGCACGCAAACACACGGAGTAGACAGCGAGCGCGCAGCCAAAAACACCCGCAGCCACACTCATCACTTCACGCCGATGAGGAACAGAACGAAGGAACGAACCGAAAAAGCGAGTGCAACGTGCCGCTTCTAGACACAACTGAACAAGTGAGTCACTGCGAACACGCCGACAATCCAGCGGTCCCAGACAGCACCCTCCCTACACGCCACAACTGAACAAAGCCCAGAGTCACCGTGAACGCCACAAACAAAATCCCTCTGACCCATCCAACTGTTGTGTTTCGTTCGGTGTGGTTTATTTGTGAAAAAAGTTCGAAAATAGACCATTTAATGACGTCTTATAATCCAGAGCGCCTAATAGCCCCCTAAAATACGGTAGTCTGCACTGAAACAGAGCAAAGGATCATGGTCTATGTCAGGGATGTCAGAGTCAAATTCACAGAGGGCTGAAATTTAAAACTGGGACCAAGTCATGGGCCAAAGTAAATATTTACTGAAAAATGTCAACAACATCTGCATGTTTTCTCTTCTTTCTAGATATGTAATGTTAATATAATGTTTCTTTTTAAAATAAATGTTTAATGGTTTTGCTTAAACATTGAATCCAGAACAAGCATAATATAAAAAAATAACAAAAATTGTAATTAATAAATAATATCTCTATAGTCTATCTGTAGCCGGCGGGCAGCTCTAATATATATTTGATATGATCTTGCAGACCAAATATAATTATATCACAGTCCAAATTTGACCCGCGTTCCTGAGTTTGACATGTCTGGTCTATGTACTTCTGTTTTTTAGCTCATGCTGCACCAT